ACCCTCACTTACCTGCGGAGTACAAGTACAACCTCTTCAAGCTTTATTTTTGCAGTTCCTAACTTTTGAATACTTAACTTTGCAATATTCACGCCCTTTTAATACAGGGGTAAGTTTCATTTTTAAAATTAAGATCTCTTAAAGGTTCCAAGTCTCAATAATTCGAACTGATACATTAATTAATGAACTGATTTGCAGATTCCCCAAAAATGTAACTGTGCTTGAGGAGTAGACAGCTGTAAGATGTCTGAGGGCTAGATGCTGCATTTTCTCCTGTAAAGCTGAGTTGAATAAATGACTGAGTTCAAGCTTTAATGGCAAAATAGCACTCAGCCTTAACTACAGCTACTACCTTAATTACAGCCCTACCTACAGCTACTGCCTTCACTGCACCCTTAACTACTTACTGCTACTGGAACCGTTTCTTCAGTCTCTCCCTGTCTTACTTTCCTGTGTGATCTGTGGCTGTCGCTTTCTCCACTCCGGATGCTCTAACATATATGTCCTTCTCCTGAAGAATTCCCTTTATCTATTTTGCTACTCCGGTGTTCCCCTTCATCTCCTTCAACCCTGTGCTACCCAGCACGGTGGGAAAGCACAGGCAGCCTTTTGTGCTAGTAGGTAGCTTCTGTATCTGAAAGCCAGCTTGGAGATGGTGATTAACAGGGGGGGAAGAAGGGACTCTAGCATCCGAGCAACAGCAAAAAGGAGCTAGACGTGGGAGGAATTCAGTGCACCTGTAACAACCTTCTGTATCGAGGAAACTTCTTGCATAAGAAAAACAGAGAGAAGGAGACTTCTTGTTCCTCCCTCTCTGCAGAAACTCTGCCTCCAGCTGTGAGGCCTGAAGAATGGCACTCAAAGCTTTTCTTCTTCCCCAAATAGTACCATCTTAAGGCATGGGACCAAAGGACCCTGGCATGGATACTCATCTTTGATGGGACCTGGGAACTCATCAGGCAGTGTAATACATTAATTTGTCACACTGTGGAGTAGGTTTCGCACAGCTTTTCCTGTGCTTCTTTATCAACCAGCTGCTTCTCTGGAAGAGCAATTACTGTGTATTCCCAGGTAAACCATACATGCATGGGCAGTTGATTTGTGTGTGCACAGTGCAGGTCTCTCTTACCTACGTAATGAGACCTGTGGGTCACAGGCACATTACATCTGCATTGAACGTATGGCCCTGGTTGTCTCATATCTACAGTAGCCACGCTGCATCTTGATGTGCGTGGATCAAGAACTACTTTTCTAGTTTCTCAGATGAAATTCAGGATAGATACATCAAGGATGTATACATTTCTTTCTGAATGCCTGGCTTACCTGTCCAGGGCTGTCCTGGATTTCACCATTGCACTCTGGCTTATTTCCTTTGTTTGAAATCCCACATAAATGCTTTGCTAAGGTCCCCCAGGATCCTTAAGATTACTGTGACCTAGAGTCATAGCTGTGAATGACCATTCAGAGAGCCCTTCCTGCCTCAGGCAGACTAGCCTGGGAAGATCCACATCACCCTTGAAATAAACACTGCCAACATCGGTGCTTTTTTTGCAGCAGTATCCGCAGGCAGCAACTGCTTCTTGATCTTGCTCAGTGATATACTTACTTGTTATCAAGGGCAGATTGTGGCTTTTGCTGCACATAGATGTAGCTGAACGATGAGGAGATGGCCTAAGGGAAGAGGCAGAGAATGTTGCTCTTGACACACGTATATTGAATAATTAGTGATAAGAGCCAAAGAAATATTCATGACTCTGTAGAAAGATAAATTGATTTTTGATTAAATTTGAGTTTTCTCTTTAAAGCAGTTGAAGTTGCTCTGTGATTGGCAGCATGGAAATGAGTTTTCTATGGATTCTGGCTGGCCAGAGGATCCCTTTTAGAGCTGTTAGCCAAGATAATGCTGCAGATATCTAGTGAGTGTGTGCTGGCAAGTATTCAGAATGGCTATGCCAGAAACCCATGCTCTCTGGGCAGTTGCAGTGCAGCTGTTCAATGATTGAATCAATCCAACTTGTTCAAAGGATTTATTATAGCATTTTCTCCACCCATTCTCCTAGATTTTAGCAGAATTTCACTGGTGCCTTGTAAGACATGTAGCAAATTCCACTGCACCCCAGCTGACCTCAGGAAGGTTAAATGCTTTAAGTGCATTTGCTAGTGGGGCACATAAATAGGTACATACCTATCTTGGGTTTTTCACAATGCTTAGATTCTTCTTTTCAAAGATGTTAGCACAGGAGATTGTCAAGGTGGTTTTGCATTGCTCAACGTCCACAATTAAGAGTTCTGAAAACTTTGTTGGAGTCATCATATGCAAATAAAAACTCAGAAGCACTCTGCAAATTGAGGTACTGACTCTTCCAGTGCACCCCAGATGGCATGGCCACCCAAAAAGTATTGTGCTGAAGCATGATGCTGAACTGAACAGGATACTGTGCAGGATTTGAGAGGTCTGGCTCAGCCACAGACACCACCTGTAGTAGCCATTTAATGTACTGTGTGTCTTTGTGACTCATCTTCTGTAGGAAAGGCAATGGTAGCATCATACCTGACAGAAACTAAAATACATGTAAGACTGAGAAACGCAGAGACACTAAATGACAGGAGCTCAACGGTTACCTAGTGTCTTCACTCCTTTGTTACCCCTGATGTATTTTCCAATAAACCTAAGGTGACTCGGTTATATAGAACATGTTAGAACTGGTTTTTCTGTTCTGAGGTAACTAAACTGAGTGAATGTCCATGATCTGATGTAATTCTTATACTTTTTTTGCTACCATGTTTTTTTCCAAATTGTACTTGCATTACTACCTTCTGTACAGCTCCCATACTGCCTTCTCCCACTGCTCTGTCTAAGCTACCTAGCACTGGTGACAGCTGGCTATGGTTACCCAGTCCTGAGTTGCAGTTCCAATTCTGGTGCTGCTCCTTAATTCTGATTTGTGTGTACCTTAAGGATGGCCTGTACACTATACACCATTCTTACGATATCAAGAAAAGACAACACCACTAGTCAAGCATTCTCACAAGAGTAATTTAACTTGTCTTCTAAAAGCTTGTAAAATTATGCATTATTTCAGTGACATGACTGTTCAGTGGTTAAGGCTTTGAGGTACTAAAAAGAACAGGTGTAGAGTAGCTGTTGGATTGCTATAAAGAAGCAAATTCACAGGCAAGGTACGTTGGAGGGTTGGGAACACATACACAACATTAAGCAATTTGGTGTCTCACTCTGGCTTCGCTTTCTCTCCAGCAGTGTCCAACAATACACTGCCAGTCCCACACATCAGCCCCCGCTTAGTTAAGAAGCAACAATTTTATTAACATTACTGACTGCTTTAGTTTTATTTCATTATTGTTGCGATCACGCTCTTTGTTCCTGTTGAAGCTTTTGCTCTAAAATGTTAAAGCCTTGTACAAATCCCAGTGATTCCAGTCATACAAACTTGTGAAGTATGAAAGCTGTGGTGGCATTGCTCTTGTTTTAGTCGAGAGTAGAGTAGACTCATGGTGAGGTTCTGGTTACCTTTTTCAAACTCTGGCTAGCTGCAGCTTTTAAAAACATTAAGTAACCTTGTCCATGTCCATATGGCTGCCAGTGTCAGAGCTGCCAAGAGAGCCCAGCTATACTGTCCTACCCACTAGGTGCAAGTCCATTCTTCTTGGTCTCCCAAGGGCCAACTCTGGCCAGCTGTCTGAGGGAGGGCTCTGTTTTTCATTGTCTGTTTGACTCTCAAATCGAGGTTTATAAAATCCAGTCTAAATTAAGACACTTAGGATCACTGCTGAGCAGATTAGACCTGGTTAGAATACCTAACCACTTAAATGGCAGGTAGAGGGGTATTAAATATTGTACTGAATTTCTGAATTCCACCTTTCCTACAGTTTGTGAGGGATCAACTGCATTCCTCTCTTCTCACTTAAGCTTTGCTGTCAAGGTAGCTGCAGTCCCAAGTGTACCCTGAGTTTATTATCATGGTCTGCCAAAAGCTGTGATACCAAATCAGGGCATTGCATGCCCACGGGATGATATTTTGCCTAAGATAAGTGTAGTGTGTATGGAAATTCAATTAGTGGGCTGTCTCACTGGGCGTTAGTGTAGCATCCTAGCACAAAGCTAACCTCACTGTGCTTCTGTTTTGCTCATTACTTTGTGAGACAGGTATTGCCCAGCCATGATTACATTTGTCACAAGAAACAAATGCACAAATGAAGACAGGCTTAGGGATTGCTGGGAAGTGTCAGTATAAACAATAGCATGATTTGCACACAGGTCTCAGACAGTTTGCATCCCTTTTTACTTGTCAATTTACTTTAATGAAGGCTATAAAATAAATAGTTGTGGCTATAATCTTTAGGAATTAAAATGATTACCTGGCAAGTTGAAGTAATTAACTATTCTCAGCCAGGAATCAAACCAGAGATATATGGGTAGAAGGATGCAAAAAGAATATATTAACTCAGTAGGTAATAGTACTATTCTCCATCCTTTTTATTTTTATTTTTTTAAGAAAAAAAAATTGCATTTTGAAATCATGTATTGGCAGCTTTTGTGACCGCTGGAGTAACTGAGAGCAATCTTAGCAGGAGAGATGCAAGACATGGTTTAGGTATGCATGTGTTTGGTCTGAAAATACTGTTCCGTCTTTTTTCTTATAAAAGGCTGTGCAGCATGCGCCTTCCTTCTAGTTAGACACAAGGCCAAGTTAAAGGGTGGGAGTAGAAGGCTGGAATACTGTATAGGCACAGAATATGCCTTCCTCACTTTTAAGAAATTCATAGTAGGGCCATAGAATTTTTAATTATACTAGTTCTTGACGATTTTCTGAGTTTCTTAGAAACGTATTCTCCTTGAGGTAAGGAAAAAAGTGCTAGTTTTGCACACTTGCATTCTGTATAAGCAAACTAATCGTGATTCTGCTAAACAAAATGGAAATGCGGGTAATCCATAAATACCAGGCTGTTACATGCTCATTTGACTGTATTTTGTGTTTCAGATCACCACATTATGCTTGCCCTGAAGTCATCCGGGTAAGTTGGTTAACATGAGCGTGTATAAATATATTTTTAAAGTGTCACTCATTGCAAGTACACAGATAGTCCCTCTGTACAGAAAATCTGACCAAGGCAGACAGCATTGGAAAGGACACAAGGAACGTAACTACAGCTTAATTTGTTTGGCTCAGCCTTGAATCAAGCCACATCAACCATATGGGGGAAATGATCGTGTGTTATTCTCACAGTACGCTTTGTGCCATGTGATCAGACAGAAATACAGTGGCCTCGTTTAGCTTGATCTTTCCACCCAGGGGATACAGTCCCCTATGCTTTCCTGTCTCTGATGTAGCTGTCATTTCAATAGAAGAACGGGGGTTGGCTATCAGTGATGTTGGTTTCCATTAAATTATATGAGCTATCCTTTCCCTCTACTATCCCTTTGTCCTCTGAAAATAAATCCAAAATTTCCGTGACCAAGATTTGCCTCCTTTAAAGCATATCTTTAACGTAAAGCCAAGCAGGAAGAATACAGAAGAGACTGTCCAGACAATACTATGATTTCTAAAATAATGTGGCTGGTGACAAGCTCCCTGAAGAACCAGGGAATTAAAAAACACCTTCTTGACAGCCTTAATGTACCTCTGATGCTGTTTAAGTGCCAGCTCTAATTGTTTGAGTTGTCCACCATTCCTGTCCTGCTCCCCAGCTCTGAGCTTGTTCTCACAGATCCCAGATAAGACTGTAAACTGATGTTCATAAAAATTCAATTAATGGGCTCTGTCATGGCCTCCTAGTTGGGCAGACCACCTTGGGAAGCAGGTGGCTGAGTTGAAATGTGGGGTTTCCCATTCTCCCCTCTCTTATTCTTCAGGGTTAATTAATTCGTTTACTAGTGAGCAGTCTTTTGAACCTCTGTGTCATTGCTGCGCAGGGAGAAAAATATGATGGAAGGAAAGCAGACGTCTGGAGCTGCGGAGTCATTTTATTTGCATTGCTAGTGGTGAGTCATCTTCCTTGCGCTATACTTTAAAAAGAAAAGAAAAATCAAAAAATGCTGCTGTATTTAATGGCGATCCTATTGACATCATGTACAGATGGGGTTTTTTAGTTCCCCTATTTTTGTATCTCTCAGTTGCATCCTTTCCTCTTATTTCTACATCAGTCCCAAAGGAAAAGCATGAGGAATATTTCACCGCTTCTTTGAAATGCTGCTACCCTGCACAGGAGAGCATAGACAAACATCAAAAACTTGTCTCCATAAACGCTCTTTGTTGTCTTGTGATATTGCAGCACATTTTCTGACTGGAAAGGATGTGCAGGGTTACAACTCCAGCATACAGAGAGTGTCAAAGAAGTTGTCCTTCACAGGATCAAAATATGGCTGGGTTTGGGAAGTGTTTGTTTTTTTCTGCTGTATGTATATATGCATTCCAGTAGGTATATGCGTACATTAACTGCAGTGTTTTATCAAAAGAAGATTTGAGTGCAACAATTTTGATTCATGCAAGTATTGAGCTACATTTTAATTTGGTACAGTTGGGAATATAAAACTGAGCCAGTAGTACGAAGTTTAAATTCGTTTCCATCTGGCTCAGTAATACTTTCTTTAGTATTCACAATGTGGTATCTTGCAACTTATCCTTCTTTCGATCAAAGTTTCAATTCTCTGTGGAATTTATTCTGATTTGCAGTGGTAATGTAATACTTCTAAACATACAACAATTGGACGGCCAGCTGAAGGCAGATAGGCTCAGCATTTGTTATCAATTTCCGTGATAAAATGTATGAAAATACAGTTTATATTCATATAAGCATATATGATGTACAGATTGAATACTGTATATAAGAATAGATTTTATGTGCGTATTAAGTTTTTTGTATCTATAATAGTTCAGATTATCATCTACAATTACAAAAATAACAACCCTGAAGTCAAATTTTTATGTTCTTGTACATTTATTAGTAAACCTAATTACTTCACTTAAATGGTTTAACAAAAGCACTTGTACAGTGTACATTAAGAGTTAGATTCTGCACATTATTTTTGTTTAAAATACTTGAAAAATTTAGGGGATTTTTGTTTCAAAAAATGCTGATAATTTTTTCAATGGCCCAAATTGAAATACATTGGCGTAATCTCAGTATGATGCTTTAATTCACCTTACCCAGTCTTACTCTTTTTTTCTTTTTAGTCATTCCAATTCACTAACATTTTTGAAGTTTTGGATTTTTTATCTTGATGTTGCAAGGGAAGAATTTTAACTGTCTGGCTAGATAGCACCAGGTCATCTATTGCTCCTGAGCAGCTATTTTCATGGCTGATAAAATAGAACTGTATAATGAGCTCTTAATAGAACTTCTTGAATTTGTAAGAACAGGAGAGAGAATGTGTCAAGGTGGTTAGGATTTGTAGGAGTGGGCTTTTCATTTTCAGGGAGGTTCTCTGTCAAGATTTGGTGTCTCTCTGTTGCTGCATCTTCATCTGTTCTTACATATATACATGAGCCTGCAAAACGATTGAAATAAGGCTATTATTGACAGAGAGTGCAGAGCTCTCCAGTTAATTATGTCAGGACAAACCCTACAAAAAGTCTCAAGCTATGATAGCAGGTGGTAGTAATAAAAGAGCTGTAGTTGTTACCTTCAGGAAATGCCACAAAGCAGCCTTGCTGACTTCATCATGGCTTAAATTATGTTAGCCAAAGTACTGAACTATCAGAATTGATTTTCCTTTAAGTCTGGAACAGTTAGGAAAAAAGTAGGTAACTCAGGAGATTGGTTACAGAAGACAGGGAGACTCTCTCTTCGAGGCCACTTGAATGAACAAACAACAGTAAATAGTGCCCAGTAGCGGCTGCCATCGGGTGGGCTTTCTGAGACTTCTGTAAATGGAGCTGTTGGTCTCCATAAACCATAGACTCAGGACTGCTTATACAGATGCACTACTCACTGTAGTAAGAGCAGTGCCAGAATTGACAACTTAAAGGTTCATTATCACAGCAGCTGACAGCTTGCAGCTTCCCACAAACCATCCTGGAAATCAAGGAAGCTCGGCACCTACTAGAATTAGGCAGTGAAAGGAGGAAGTGAGAATGTCTAGGAAGGTGCAGACTTGCTATAAAAGGGTATAAACTTCAGTTGGTGGAGTTACCCTAAAGATTTCAACTTCTTTTTTCCCTTTTTGTCCCTGCAGCAAAGATAGGTCTTTTGCTGCTTTTTGTGGCAAGCTGATGATCTATTCAAAATGCAATTTCAGCTAAAAAGAACTCAAACCGTTCATGTAAGTGAGCTGCAGTAGGGAGGCGATAGGAACTGATGACCTGACCACAGCATGGCAACTGGATGGAGTATATTAAACAGGTAGAACGTCTGCTGCTTCCAAAGGCTAATGTTGGTTAGGGTTTCTTTCAGCTGTGTCATTTCACTGCTCCATCAGAAACAGGATGTTCTTTACTGAAAGTCTCTCAAAAGCTGTTCACCTCCTTTTCAATGTCTGCAATAAATGTGTCTCAAGAAGATTAAAAATAAGGAGACGATAAACATTGCTGCTGTGAAAGTATGCCCAGGAGGAATACCAGCAGATCAAAAGCTTGAGCTGAATTTAAGTGAATCCATGCATCTTTGGTGAATTTGCCTGGAAAGGCAATTTCATATTTTGCATTATGTTTTATACTGGTAGTCATTTTCTAATTAAAAGCCTAATAAAAAACCTATGTCCTCAGTTTTGTTTCCTATGTTGGAGAAAATACAGCAGCACTAAGAAATTATTTATTTTCAATGGATAAAAAGGTTTTTTCACTTGTTATAATAATTCATTATCAGCTGACTTCCTCTTTTCCATTCTCTCACTATGTTTATCCTGGCTTTTCTCCTTTTGCCCTCTCCAATTCCCTTTTACTCGTCTCTCCCATCCACCACTCTGTCACATCCCTGCAGGGTGCCCTGCCTTTCGATGACGACAACTTGCGGCAACTGTTGGAGAAGGTGAAACGTGGAGTGTTCCACATGCCACATTTTATCCCTCCGGACTGTCAGAACCTTTTGCGGGGGATGATTGAAGTGGATGCCTCGAAACGTCTCACGGTAAGAAGGCATTTTCTGCGAGTCAAGTAGGCAAGGCTTCATTTGTCACCTTGTTGCAGTTACAATTGAATAACTAAGGTAACTTGCTGATTTACTGGCCCTCCTGTGTGTTCCCTCCTGAGTGGAGGTGGTGGAAGAAGTTAGTTACCTTCTCTTCCGAATCATGAGGGTAGATTACCGTTGTGTCTCTCCTCTAGCATCATAATTCTCTTTCATATGTAACAGTGGGCATTTAGAAGAAATCCCTCATAACATCATCACAGTACTGCTGACCCACTAGCACATTTTGGAGTCCACCTGAGTTGTCTGGGTCTCCTGGCTGATACAGCAGTTTCTTGGGGATGCGATATAGCTGTTTGAAGGTCAAAACTGTTAAGGACTGTTAATTTGAAGCTTTGCTATTAAACAGAATATGCTTTTCTTACATTTCTGACAAAAGTGGTGGCTTCTCACTTTGTGCCACGCAACCTGCATTGTATTCCATCCTGCATATGCTCTGCATTATCCTCTAGCAGCCTTCAGAGCAAGTGTCATCTTCTAGTCTGCTCTTTTATCTCATGCCCTGTGGTCCTGAGCACAATTAGGCCCACAGTGTTGATCTTCTGCCATTCAGCACTGAGTCTTTGCATCTAGGATATATCCCATCACTACTACAGAGACCCTGCAAGGGTGAACAGTGTGTAGTGATTGTATCCTTCATTAACACAGTGTTAATGTTTTTGGGAATTAAAAAAAAATTAGCAATTAAAATAATTTTGGAAAGCAAGATTGCCTGCTTGTCAGTGGAGGCTTCTGCCTTTATGGGTACATTGCCCTTGTAAATGCTATTGTCAGGCTCTGGTGATGATTTTATACAGATTTACTAAGCTCACAGATTCTGAGTGGGAGTATGTATAAAGAAATGTAAATTTAAAATTCCTCCTGGTTCTTCAGTCTGCTAAAATATTTATAAATAAACTCTCAGATCAGTGCTTGGCCTCTCTGCCGAGATTGCTAACAACAGCATCAGTCTGCGCCAGCTGTGACGGTGCTTTTGGGACGCAGACACCTGTCTGCTAAGAAGTGAACTGAAACTCCCTTCACAACTCTCTCTATAGTAGTACCTGACAGCTGCAGCTGGGTTTTTCTTTCATTCATTACAAAACCAGGTCATGCTCCATTTGGTGACGTAGGTGAAAAGTTCTTCATGCAGTTACTAGTATCCCTACTTCTGCAAACCCAGTAGCCATCACATTTACAGTACATAAGTAGCACTGATTGGAAAAAAAAAATATTAGGCACTTTAAAAGGCCTTTTTTAAACAGATTTTTAAAGAAAGAAAGAATATTTTTCCAAGTGTTTTCATGGAAAGAACACTGTAGAGGTTAGGGCTGTACCCTGAGACATGATACAGCTGTTCTTCATGACCAAGAAAATCACCAAGTCCCTCTCTAGCTTAGTTTCTTTTCCATAATGTAAACATAACAGTTTTTCTCTTGGTTTTTTTTTTTTTCTCTCAAAGATCTTAGGTTTGAGTATGCCAGAGAGCAGATTATCAGACCTTAGAACTTCTTCAAATTGTTCTGACTGCGTTTTGCTATAGAGCATAGTCCCTAAATGTTTTGAATTGTGCGATACAGCACAGAATGTATGTGCATAAGAGGAAAAACAGTTAAGGTAAATCAAGGTCTCAGAGTGACACGCACACACACACCCTTTTCTTAATCAAAATGAAGCTCTTATTTCCTTAGGGAGGAAAAAAAATGGATTGGATAGTTATTGACAAGCACTAACCAGTGAATTGTGAATAAGAATTTGAAAGAAAACATATTCAAGAGCTGAGAGCTGGGAGGAAAAAAGGATAGCTCTTTGTTATTAGCTGCAATCTTATTTTCATTATTTTAGGGTCTCTTGGTTTGCTGTCCCTGCTGCTGTCACACTTCCCTTTCTATGCTGTTAGTGCGCCGGTTGCTTAGGTTGCCAGGCAGAAGAGAACTCTTTGTTTACCGCACAGGAGCTGGGAATATATAGTTCAGTTTGAGGAGAGATCTGAATTCTATTTTAGCTGCATCCTGTGAAAAAGGGCATGAATATGGGTTTATTTGGAAGTCTTTATTCCTAGAAAATATCTCACTTGAATCAATTTGATATTTATACAAAGATCTGAGTGAAATTGTGGCTTGGGTACCATAAGTACAGATGTAGCTGTTACCATTACTGATCATTTGCTCAATATCTCACTGGTGAATTCAGCAGAAAAATACAGTGAAATGTAAGGTCACTAGAATTTTTTTTCTTTCATTTTCCCTTCCCCTCTCTGCTTTGTTCTTTTTTTTGATTTGTATCTCTTTTCCTTTTCATCCAACTACATTTCCCTCCCTGCAGTAGTTGCCATTTCACAGCACACCCACATCTTCCCCAGTCCATCTGTTAAAATGATCAACAAAACCAGAACTAGCATTCACATTTAACTGTCGTTATTCGGCTTCAGTGTTAGAGCTTGAGAGGATTAATGGAGAAGAGGGTACTCAGAATTATTGTTGCTGGCCCTTTCCTGCCTTAAGAAACAGGCATTACCTTTCTTTGTATATGATTCCTTTATGGAAACAAGACTTTATTATGTCTTAGTAGAATATTGTTCACCATATATTATGTAGCCTCAAGTATGGTTAGTGGGATGTCCTTGACCACTCTCCTTTACTTGGCCTGTTTTACTAAACATGCTTAAAGCATGTTTTCTAAAAGAATACTAAAAGAATCATAAAAAGATTGAAAAGCATTCATAAAAGAATACTAAAGGAATACATAAAAGAATCCATGTTTTTCTTTCAGTAGACTGCGGAAGTTGATCCTAGCTGCTGGTCATGATATTTCTGACCACCCATGTTCAGGAACGATGAAATAAAACAAAGAATGAGTGCGAAGGTGGTCAGCATTTGAGAGAGCCTTTCTAAATAGCGCAGCCTAAATGAACTTCACTTTAGTCTACACAGATGATGTCTAAGAAAGGTTGTACCAGTTGTCTGCATATTCATTATAGGTGATTACCAGGGAGAGAAGGATTATTTAATCTAGAGGAAGATACTGGCACAAAAGCAAATGTATGTCAAATGGCCTTACATGAAAGTAGGCTAGAAATTAGAAAAAGCATTTTAGCCATATTAGTGTGGTTCTGGGACAGCTTTCTAGTAGGAGTAGTGTCAGGAGGGAAAAGTGAACTAGTTTTAAGTTTGAGAAGGCTTATGGAAGAGAAGGAGTGCTCTTGGTGCCTGCAGTGCTTCAGGATGAGGTTTCTTTTAGTTATGTGCTCTTTGGAAAGTGAATGGTTTTTTTTCCTTGGAGGTTTCAAATGATTCAGTATCTCTATAGTGGAGAATTACAGCTCCTGTAGTGGAATCCATTTGCATTCTCAGATGGTATTTTCTTCTACAGAAACACAAAGGCAAAAAGAGGGAGAGTTTTTGGTCCACTTTCCTTTTAAAGATGTATGAGCATTATCAAAACTTTGTCTGTAGAGCAAGGTAGATCAGAGAAGATACTGCAGAATAAGCTATCCTGATAAAGCTGTTATTGTTCCAGAGCTGACATTTTATTCCAGAGTGGGATGACTTGTCTTCCATGTTGGGTGTCCACATCATCTGAAATACCTGTCCCTGAATATTATCCAACTTAAATTACACACGTATTCAGAATCTCATCTCTGCTCTCTGATTTTGTTTTTTTCTTGGGTCTAATGTATGCTAATGATGGACCACAGCATCTAAAGAATGTTAAAAAAAATGAGTAAGGGAAAACTAACCTGATTCCTTCTTCATTTTTCTAAAAGGTATTATGGTAAGTTGCCTATCACATCAGTTAAATTATCTCACTTCACCACCTGTAGAATGGAGGTAATTGTCCAGTTGATGTATTTAGGCTGTAAGCTTTTGGCTGCCAAGGGCCTATTCATGCACCATGCTTATAGCACAGTGATATCTTGCCCTTGTCAAGGTCCCTGGAGGCTGCTATGGTATGGCTGCTACTACTGACACAGATAATCATAGAATCATAGCATCATAGAATAGTCTGGGTTGGAAAGGACCTTTAAAAGTCATCGAGTCCAACCCCTCTGCAATGAGCAGGGCCATCTTCAACTAGATCAGGTTGTTCAGAGCCCTGTCCAGCCTGTCCTGGGATGTTTCCAGGGATGGGTATCTACCACCTCTCTGGGCAACCTGTGCCAGTGTTTCACCACCCTCATTGTGAAAAATTTCTTCCTTCTATCTTGTCTGAATCTGCCCTCTTTTAGTTTAAAACCATTACCTCTTGTCCTATTGCTACAGGCCCTGCTAAAAAGTCCATCCCCATCTTTCTTATAAGCCCTCTTCAGGTACTATAACATCTTCCCGGAGCCTTCTCTTCTCCAGGCTGAACAACCCCAACTCTCTCAGCCTTTCTTCACAGGAGAGGTGTTCCATCCCTCTGATCATTTTTGTGGCCCTCCTCTGGACCTACTCCAAGAGGTCCATGTCTTTCCTGTGCTGAGGGCTCCAGAGCTGGATGCAGTACTCCAGGTGGGGTCTTACCAGGGCGCAGTAGAGGATGATTCTACCAGTGCTGTTTGCACTGCCAGCTTGAATCCTTTGGTCAGGAAAAGCCTCTATCTTGACATTATACAGTAGGTTTAAAGCTTAGGCTATAGGATCTTCTGAATGAAGAAGATTCAGCTGAGGTGTGGGTTGATTTAGTGCACAGATGAGTTTGAGACTGTTTCCTGTCTGGACAGGGAAGTTTGACATTTGAGATGAGTTCAAGCCCAGAGGCCCTCATCCGTATCCACAGACTTTGAGAAAATTTTTCTTCAGGTCAGAACTTTTTAGCTTGGCAACCCCTCTGCTGAGATCAGTGCCGAGGATGTAGACAGCACTGTCTTGTTTTCCATCTGCCTGTCTGTCTCCATCTGTTGTTCCCTGCCTTAGAATTCAGATGTAAGCTCCTTGAGGGAGGAGACCTCTTTTTCTGATGAGCTTCTACAGCTCTGT